AATTATAATATAAATGTTCAAAAAGTAAACAATATTATAATAGGGGAGCCCAAGTGGGAATTTCGGGATTTACTAAAGCGCGGCAGATTAATATACAGGGGGATACCTTGTACCCGGTTAAGTACCTCCACCAAATATGAGCCCCCATATATAAGGCCGCCCGTGAAGGATAAGAGGATCAGATTAGTAAAAAAAATTGATCATCAGAAATTCTCGAGCGCGTCAGATTAAGGTAGGGTGAGTTAATTACATGCTAAAAAGTGTATATTCCACTAATCTGACAATTTGAGAGTGACGTAAAGAAAGGGGAGGGCAGCAAAGTTGTAAAAAAAAACGTCATCTCGACATTCTCGAGCGTAACTATTTTTTTTTTTTTTATTTTGAAGGAGATAATTCAAGGATAACGAAAAATATATAATCTGACGATTTCCGCAAGCCGAAATAACAAAAATTCGTCGATAAAGTTTAACGCGTGATACCTATATTTCCCTCTCTGCGTTTCTATTCCTCTCTTACTTTTAAAAATTATTAATGACTATATTTTTTTATTACTTAGTATAATTTTACAAAATTCGGCAAAAGTTTTTGGTGTCATAAGATACCTAGATTATTTTGAATTTCTGAAATTTTAACTTTTTCATTTTTTATTCATAAGTTCCCATCAAGAGTACTTGATTTATTTAACACAATTCAAAAAAATAAAAATTATAGTCCGAATAAATACAAGTAGTATTCTATTTGAAAAACATATTATTTGCATGCTATTTCCTGAGCTTTTCAATTAAGTTCAATGAATTAAAAAAATAATTTTTATTTTGTCAGATTAGGCGAATCCCTCTAGATAATCGTCAGATTCTGAGAACGTCTAGGACATAAAGAAAGCATATATATCTTAATCTGACGCGCTTGAGTATTTCAAAATGGCGAATTTTTTTTGTACATTATAATAATGGCCGCGAGTTTGCGTCACATCGAAATCGTCAGATTATTGAATGAGAGCTTTTTTTTTTTTGGTTCACTTAACACCCCCTTAGAAAATCTGATTAATTTTTCAACCCTTACGTACAACCACCCGCATCATGCAAACGATCAGATTAACATACTTACATTATTAAAAATACGTAGGACATTGATGTTATCAATATCTGACGTGCTCGAGTATGTCCATGCAACAGTATTTTTTTACATATTTAAAAATCTATAGTCGCTTCCCCCATCGATGGAAAGGTATATATTATATGACATTTTTTTCTTTTTATCATCTAAGCTTTGCAACCCAATAGGTCTCTATGACGCTCGAGTAAATCCCCATTTAGCATCGTGGGCTCCTCTACTATTACTTACATGTTTATTTATATTATTTCCTTTGATTTTAATACTGCTCCTATCTATTGAAGTAAATGCTTCAATTTTCTTGGTATTTGTCTTCTACAAAGAATTGTTTCATGATTGGTCACAATTTGATTAATGGTTTGTAAACACTGTTCAAGTCAATTGCTTGATATTCCTAGGAGACCTGAAAAATAAAAAGCATTAGAATACAACAATATAAACAAAGTAGTTACTGTTACTTACTAATGGAAAGATTTAACATAAAATTACCAAGTAAAGCAAGGTTTTCAAGATATTCATTATTTATTAATGGTTTTGTAAAGTGTAGGTTCGTAAATAATATCTTTGGGGATTACTTTGGGTAAATATTATAACATAACCCACTAAAACTATTGCGCCAAGATGTAGGCAATACGTAATAAGTGTTCAAAATGGCGGAGTTTTCTGTCCTTTTAAAAGGCACTCAGAAAACTGCGCAGTGCGACCATTCTCCGTACAGTACAGAAAATCGAAGTATGTATGTGCATCACACTAAATAGGCGTATCGGAACTCAGGGTAAGAAATATAACGCAACAAATTTTGATGATTTAAAGCGGAAATAGAATTTGTGCATGAGTAATAGGAATAATGGGAAAGGTCCATTGTTTCAAGTACAATTTTTCCAAGTGTCACCTGTAATTTTTATTTTTTAAATAAAAGTGAAATTCTAACAAATTTGGTTTTTCTCATTTTAACTATATAGATGTTCATCAAGTAAAGGCTGAAACAATCAAGAAACTCTCTACAGTATTAGAGAGCGTCGTTTAGAATCACCCTGTATACTAAATATCTAGTTTTTGAGTTGGTATACAAAACCATCCTTTAGATGTGTCCAGATGTGTCATGTATTGTCAATTTGACAGTTTTGTAGCAATTCATCAATTTGTAACTGACAATTCAAATTATATGTGAGCATTGCAGTGAAATGTCTTGCCATAAAGTTACTTTGAAGTAAGTTTAAGAATTATGTTGCTGCAAGTAAATGGCTGTAAGATATTTTATACTACAATAGTAGATTTGACACAGATACATTGCTAATAATTTGATTTTTAAATGGGTAGAAGTTTGTTAGAGAAAGATATTGATATTAGCTAAAAATTTTTAAAAGTAAGAAACAATGATTAAAATAAGTAAACTAGTTGTTAATAGGCGACCATCACATTTGGGAAACTGAAAATAATTATTAAAATTAAAAAAATTATAGGAATGATGAGATTTTTACATAGGTAGGTACTTAAAGTGTAAGTTTATATTTACAACTCTAAAATATTCTATATTCCAAATATTTTTAAACTTTATGAAACGCCATTGTTAAAATTGTTTTAACAAGTTTACATTAAATATAAATGAAACAATTTTTTTATGCATGAAATTGATATTATTTGGTTGGATTATTAATGAATGAATACTACAATACGCTGCATTAGCGAAGACGAAACATACATTTTTATGTGAGCTTACAATAATAATATATTCCAATAGTAAGTAGATAATGTCAAGTATACAATATGTTAACTTTTTAAACCTTACTCCAGAGAACGGTATACAAAACCAATGTTATTGACACAGCTCTTGAATAGACAGAAATATAGCAACCATGCATCTAATCACGGATAGGCGAGTCGAGAACTACTCTCTTTATTTCTTTGACTTTTAAATATCATTAAACATCTCATCTTTTTCTGCTGGTTGAGTTGATTATTGGATAATCGTTTAGTGACCAATTCTGTGTTCCTTTTTTTTTACTATAAAATTAACATTATTTCCTTTTACATTTTTCGTTAATTTTTTTAAGTCAAAATTAAAAGTTGTAGAGTTTCTGGTATTAAAATAACTCGATAAATGTCCTATTATTTACTAGCTTCTAAAATAAGTAAAAATGAGTAAAGTGAAAACGTTGAATAAAAATAAAATTAGAGGTTAGGTCAATTTACATTTGTTTCTATTATATTCAACATTGTATTCATTTCAAATTATACCATTGTAATAGTTATCTACACTAAAGATAATCAGTTAAACTACGTTTTTTACAACATGTAAACAATATTAAAAAAAAGTCTCAAAATTTTTAAACGTATATATCAAATTCAGTGACAGGATTGTTTGTTTTTGTTTGGCTCACATATTACGTCATACTAATGCATCGCATTGTCAACTGTATTTACCTTTTTACTTAAAAAAATACAGTTGATTGTAATGATTCAAAATAGATAGTTAAACAGTAGTGATGTAAAGGGGAGAACGTTCGCCCACGATTAATCGTTCGTGCGCGCATGAAAGATCGTTCTTCTGGGCACAAACGATCTATCGTGGATAAACGTTTCCCAGAGAGCACATTCAGCATGGACGAGAATTTTTTATCATGCTTTGCTGTCTTTAAATCGGTTGATATTTGAAAAACAGAAATGCCATTTGGAAATATGAAAATATATAATCCCCAATCCCCCCTACAAAATTATGAAAAATACACCCCCATATCCCTAAAGTGGAAACAAATCAAAGAAAAATTGACAAACAAACAATGATTGCATCTACCAGGGATCGAACCTAGTACCTTCCGACTAGAGCCGTCGGCACCTCTACCAGTTGGGCCATTGAAGCACATCGATGCGACAGTCGTACTCGTAGATTGAAATCAAACAAATTCTGCATCAGCTTTTTCAATTTTTCTTTGTTTTCACTTTTTCATATTTTCTTAGGTGGAATTGGGAATTATATATTTTCGTATTTCTGAAATTGCATCTCAACCGATTTTCTCACTTCACTTCATTTTGCTTATCATGTTACTTATGTTAACTAATAAAGATTTAATGTTAGATGTTATTACTGTATTATTTGCAACACAAAATATTAATAGTGTCATTTTCTTATAAAACGTTAGGAGAACTGTGAAAAGTAAGTTTTTGAATACTTTACCACTCCACAAACATATATTCTCGGGTTTTTTTTAATTTATGCTCGTTTATTCTCTTTCAATCTCGTTCATGCTTGGGGGAACGTTCTCCAAAAATATGTGCTCGAGAATTTTACATCTCTAGGATATGATATTGTGTACCTTGAAACTAGTATTTTTTACAACATATTTCAAAATGGGTTTTCTATAATATATAGAAGATTTTGTACAAATAAATGTATTACAAATATGCTGTCTTTGGGAGATTTTTAATTCATTAATTTGTATTTTTCAGCTTGTGTAACTAAGAACCTCAAAATTTAGCATAGAAAATTCGAAGTAACAAGTATCCAGCGTAACTACGGGCCTTGACAAAAATTATGAGCATTACAGCACAATACGCACCCAGCACGCATTGAAGACATCTGAGGATTTTTTATTTAATTTTTCATACGTTTCATACAAATTTTGAGTGACTGTGGATTGTAATTTTTTTATACTATTGGATTGTCTTTTTTTTTCACTCGATACATTGTGCAGTTGGTATTTGAGTATATATTGTGAATGGGATCATTTTAAAGTGGGTATTTTTTTTGATTCGGCTGCCATAATTGACATTGCGGGGTATTTATTTAATAAATACCATTTTTAACCATTCTGTGATATTCACTACACTTAAGAAACGATAAAAGAAGTGCGAAGAAGAATAAGAAGCAAAAAAACATTGTACCAAATATGTCCACGAATCCTCAGTGGAAGACCTTCCAGCCGCCCCCCGAAACTCTCACTCAGGATCCTAGTATCATGGATTTTAAACCTATGGCCAGTAGTGGTGAGAGATATTCTTTATAATACCTAATTATTTTCATTATTATATAAAGAGATATGCTCTGTTTTTATTTTTAATATATTAAATCCTTATCAATGTACACTTATGGTATGTTTTCAAAATACTTTTGAGCAAATTTTATACAATTATTTAAATGTATTCAAAAAGGTGCATTCCCTATGATATACACAAGCACAATAATGAACAAATTACTATGAATATTACATAAATTAGTTTTTCTTGATTACATAATTAACTACCTAATTTTTATTAAATATTTCTTGTGCTTATTTTATATTGTATGTTTTTATCATATAAAAAGTTATGTAGATTAAGTTTGCCTCAAAGGGTGATTCTTATTTCTGTATAAGCAGTAACTTTTTTAAAAAAGTATTATGGATTATTTATTTTTATTTTAAATACATACTATTTCCAAATGAAAAATGTATTCAAATAGATGCACACTGTTACAAAAGAAAAACAACCTTCATTTACAATGCCTCATTTCTCATCACACAATGTTATTAAACAAATTGTTAATCTTTTTCAAACCATATGACGATAATACTGCAGTTACAACATATTATTGTATACATTTAATTGTACTTTATTATATGTAATAAGGCAGCAGTTGAGTCCTCTTCACATTTAAATGGTTTTTAACAGTTCAAATTAATTAATAAAATAACATGTTGCTGGTCTTTAATAAAAATTTAATAGTTTTAAAATTATTTAATAATATTTAAATTCATTTACAGAATTTAATAAAAATATAAAATATTTCTAAAAATACACAATTTGACCTTTTTATACTACATAATATGCATAAAAATATCTCAATGCACATGATGGAACTATATTTCTGAATGTGATTGTTTATCTACCAATAACTTGTTGCCTTTTCCATTTTTAGACAAAATAAATTTGATAATTTAACTTTTAAATAAAAGTTCATTGCCTTTGGATTTGTTTATTAAATTCTGTTTCATTAAATAATAAAACATTAAAGAACTTATTTTTTTTTATATGTGAAATTGCTACAATAAGTAAAATAAAATAATTTATATGCACTTTCAAGAACAATAGTGAGTGCTAATTGCATTTCAAATAAATTAGTATTGTTCTGAATAGTATAAAATGATTTATTCACTGACATGTCAGAAGTGCAATTTATTCAAAATTACGTTATTGTGTTGTTTGGTAACTTATTTAATACCCTACTTTAATAATTTTATAGACTGAGAACTTCTAAAAAAATATGCTGATTAGATAGCAGTTAAAAAATTCTAATGAGGCATCACTCTTTTCCGCTTAGGATTACTTAATATTATTATGTATGTACATAAAATACCATGGTATAAAAAATAAAAGGTAGGATATCAACTGTGTTAAAAATAGGAGGGCCACGCGCATGACGTCACGCGTAGAGTTTCTCTAGGCGCGATTTCAAAAATACTGAGAAAATGTGAGAAAAATATATGTTATTTACAGAAATTTCATTAGTATTAAAGAGTAGTATTTTATAAATTAGATGAAATATTTAAGGATATTATTATGGGAAAGAGCTATGAAGGGAAATAAATACAAATACATACAAATGCTACGTTTGAAAAGTACCTCACGAAGCGGAGTAGAGCTATTAGATTTTTTAGTCACGTGATCATCGAGCTTATGTGGAATAAAAGAACGGCTATGGATTTGTTTGTATTTCCCGTTTCCGGTTTTCATTAAAATAACAAACGTAAACCTTTCTTTTAAATCAAATTTGATCTCTCGTCTCGTGGTTTTTGTTGCAAGTTTCAAAGTAAAGTTAATTTTTAGCTGTGGTATTTTTCGCTTTTTGCTTTCACTAAAAAATAAACCATATTCTCATTTATGCCTGACATTTTTTATAAATATATTTTTTTTTAATAACCAAACCTATGAAAAAGAATAAACTACAATGCAAGAGACAACGAACGATGTCTGTACATCTCAGAAAAGTAACTTTGTCAATTGTCACAGAAATTACATTTACTCCGAAAGCTCTAAAATTTAATTCGGAGTAAATAGATCTTACTCGATTTACCAGCTCTGCATTAAAATACCACGAAGCAGATCCCATCGAGAAGCCGCAGATGTATTAAAAGAATGGCTTCGAGTAAAAAGAGCAAAACGACGTAGTTTTCAAATGCAGCAATTAAAGAAATACTTATTTTAAGTAACAGTTTCCTTTTCTTTTTATTGATTTATTTTTGTTATACATATTCGAATGAAGGTTTTTAATTTTAAAGAACATTCGACTTCTAAAGAATAGTTTTTATAATCAGGATAATGAGAAAGGTATATTTACAAGTCGGAAATATTTAACTGATTAGGATTCGCAACTGGTGACTTATTTACCTGCATTATATTACCCAATTGAATTATACTTAACTACTTATTTTATGGAAAATATATCAAAAATAGTTTTTAAAAAATATTTTTTATACCTATAACGCAGAACATAAAAATAATGTAATAAATACAAATAACTGCTACATGGTGGGTTTATATACAAAATTAAAATAAAATGTCATTGTATTTTTCCTGGACATTGTTAGTTTTTTAATTCTTCAATTAGCATTGCCTATAACAATTCCCTTAAAAAAAAGCTCATGAAATATAACAATTTTAATACTGGAGGGACGTGGTCCTCTGGGACCCCCACGGGAGTCGCCCTTGGGCCACTTCTGACTAACCTCTTACTGTCAAGGAAAGCAGAAAAACAACGTCCTCTTTAAATACTTTGCTTTGGTTGTTATTGTTAGATACGTAAATTGCGTACCTCATTTTGTTAATGTTCTTCACTAATATCCCTTACAAAGAATAAAGTTTATAACAATATAATACAAATATCCGCCTAAAATGTGTATAAATCACTATAAACAATTTACAAACTACTGCAACGTGCGTCTGTCATATGATATTTACTTCGCGCCAACTCTACGCATGACGTCAGGGCCGCCATGACACCATGCGCGATATCCCCCCCCCCCCCTAATAAAATATAGTAGTTAACAAAGCATTTTAACATAGTTACGTACGTGTAAATGGCTAATATTAGAAATGTCAATTTAGAGAAAAAGTAGGGTTGGACGATGGCGTGATTTTTAATGTATTGGTAAGGAGTGATCCACATTTCTAAAAAAGGCCTTGGAAAAATTCACTTATGTGGAGCGTCATATTCTTTTTTATGTGTCCGCTTAGATTTCATTCAGAGCTACTTGTACCAATAACGAACATGACTCGTATCTCTGTCTTTGTCATGGCCTTCTTTATAAACATTTGTTTGGATCACTCTTTATATTGGTAATTAATGGCAAAAAAAGTTCATGCAATTAAATATTGTTCTGTAAATAAAGTACTGATTTGCAAATAAATTATTATTCTGCAATTAAAGTTAGACTTTTCTAATACAGGCAATTAAAACCGCCTTTTTATGCCAATTGTTTTTGTATTACCCCACTCTGAGAAACTTTCCCACAACAGGCAAACCTTCATCACAAGCATTCAACTTCACTCGATCAACTTCATCGTCTCGTTTCGGGGATTTCCCATTGCTGCAAGAAAAGTCTTCATCTTTACACTATAACAACGGCCTGTATGGCTCGTCGAGTACTACACACACTTCACCCCGTTTTCCTATTGGTACATTCTCTTTGGACACGACCACCAACAACGTGTACAACAGCAGTGGAGACAATTCGTTGAACAATACCAGTAGCATTTTCTCGAATGGCAATAATAGCAACAGCAGTTATAATGATTCGAACGCCTCGAATTTGGGAACCAGGGAGACTGGAATCATTGAAAAACTTTTGGTAAGCAACACAATTTTTGATATGACCAGAGACAACTTATGAGATGGTTAAATCCATGAGAAAAATATGTCAGAAAATAGATCTCTCTCTAAGCCACGAAAGGTGAAAACAGATGACGCAATACGTTATTTAGCGGGAACCGCGGTAAATTTAAAATATATGTGTACATTATACAGTCGGATACCACTTACGGAATAAATTAATTTTGGCGTTTTCTTCGAAAATTGTGAAAAATGCTGATAGTTCAATTTTTATTTTCCACCCCTGTTTGTGATAACTAGCCCCTTGAAGATTCTAAATAGCAACTGAGGGCGATAACTCACTTGAAAGGATTTTTAATTCCCTATATGATAGTAAAATTCCAGGGGTATATAGGCATTTAAATATTTTAAATATTCGCCTTGTTTAAATTTTGTAATATACATTGCTCATGTTAAACATAGCATTCCCAGGCCGGACCGGTGCATAGAACAACACTTGTATTCAAAGCTCACTTAGCAACAAGATACATTTAAAAAACACATCTTCCTTCCCTTGATTTGAAAATCTCCTCTCTTTTACCACAATAGTCAAAATATATTTCATGTAGACAATAAGAAAGTTACCTATGCCAATCCACCTAGTAACAGCAGATCACTCCATCACATATTATTTCAGTCGAAGCACCCTTAAAACTAAAAATATTACATATTAAAGAAGCTTATTTCATTCCAATGGCCATATTGTAACCAGATGAATCCATTTCATGAGGTAAGATAGGTGTTGGCAATGTCTCATCAAATACAATATTCTGTGAGTCGGTCTCTGACCTCCAAACAATTCAAGTCACTCCTTCAACCACAAACAAGAACACATCAATACTTCACAATGTAATTAAAGAGCAATCTGTACTGTACCGATCCTGGTCTAGCCCAGAGGTACAAATCGACAGTAATACAAGCATGTAATGTTTTCTTTTTAAGTTCAGTGTACATATGTATATAAAGTGTATTGGCACCGTGCGCGACAGCAGCGCCAATTATGAATTAACGGACGATTTTTTCGTATACTGACAATACAATTTTTAATAGAATTCGCAATTAAAAAATATATGTTGGTTTTAATAAAAGTTAATGGATTTGTAAAACAAGTGAAAACATTATTTAATTATAATGATTTATTTTATTTCTTTAGTTTAAAAGTATAGTCAATAAAAACAATATTAAACATAGACAGGCAACAGTATGTACGAGAAAATGTATGAGAAGTTGACTAAGCCCAATAAGTTGTCATTGAATAGTTTAAATAACGTCAAAATAAAAAAAAATCTATTAAATAATAAGGTGTGGAATTAAAATGTATTACAAAAAAAAAATTGTATATTTGCGATTATAATTTTTTTTTTATTTTTAAATCGAAAGAAAACATAGAATTAATGATTAAAACTGGTTTCCCACCAATAAGTCACAAAATTACATTCCAGCTACATACCATAATCAAAGGAAGAAATCTAGTACTTTCTGAACATTTAAGATTTAAAAGATGTTGAAGAACATTGTAAAATTGTTTATTTAAAACCTTTTTACTTTCTGATATCTAGTATTTCCAGGTAATACTGGTATTATTACAAAAGTAAATCTACTTTTTTCTTCTTATTGTAGGTACAGCTATCCATTTATTTCTTTGATTTAATTTCCATTTTGCTACTGAAATAATATTCAGTTTTTTTTTGCTAGTATTTTTTACAATTTTTAACACAGCAACTCCGGTTGCTCATTGTATTGTTTTTACCTATTTTTTTTTTTTAAATCAAATATATACGTGTATTTGGTACGCCAAAATTACAAAATATCGCCCTATAGTGCTCGAATTATCCGCCGCATGCGCTAGTATCGCTTTCCCCTACCATGACTTCATACTGAGCGAAAAGTCACTCCTACCAGTAAGTGAATAAGAGGGTGTACTTTTCATCAGCGGTTCTTTATCATGGATAAGGAGTTTTTTAAGGTAAAAAATACAGTCCACCAGTACCAGCTCTTTAGCTGATGTTTTTACAGGGGCAAAACTCCACCATAAACCCTTTTTGGATTATTTAATACATTTGAATAAAATTTGTGGGGTATTAACTAGTTAAAAATAGCAAAGATTTAAAATATTTAAATCCCTTTAGGTATATCACCTAGTAAGTATAAAAATTATAGATAAATATAATTAAAAATCCTTTTCAAATTATCTACCAATTGGACTCTGATGTTATTTAAAATATTCAAGGGTGTAGTTACCCCAGACATGACAAAGAGCAATTTATGAGAAATAAGTAAAATAAAAGGAACGAATAACGGGAATAATTTGCAAGCATAGTTAATCTTAACATAAGTTGTCCCTGATATGATCGTTTAAGATCTTTTACAGAGCTTACTAATACAACGAATTGTGTGAATATCGATATTTGGATTTAATTCTTGCCGGCACTGTAATGAATATGGTTTATTATTATTTTTTTTTTTTTTTAACAAAAGTGAAAGATTAATATATCATCTTATCGGAGTTTTTGATAAAAACATTAACGGTTTAACCAGAAAAAATATTGTTAAAAATAACCTAACTTGAACGTACAAATTGGTATATTAAAACTGAATTATTTTTTTTAATACAACGATCTACATAAAGTTCCATCTTTTCTAAAGAGAATTAAAAATGAAATTTAAAAATTGGAATGGAAATAAAGATGACTTCGAAAATGTTTCTATTTCTAAAATGTCTACAAAATTGGATGGTAGACTCTCTTCTCTTTTAGCTACGACGATTGATCGACGCCGTTCATTGTGACTCTGTTTCAATTGACTTAATATGCAGAGCAATTTGGTGTATTTAAATTTTGTCCAGAGTCTAATTTGGCATTACAAATGCGTTAATTAAAATCTATTTTCCTTTAGATTCCTTATTTTCATTTTGATTAAAATAACAATATATATTTCTAAGGGCACAATATGGAAAAAGAATATATTATTAGATTGTTGAGTATTACACTGCTTACTATTAGTAAATTTCGAGCATTTGCTTTTAATTCTTTAGGACACAATGAATATTTTTTTTTTTCAAGAGGGACTGAACTATCACAGAGCATACATTATTGATAAAAACTTAATTGATTCACTAAAAGCTTTAAAAAAAGAAAGAAGTGAAAAAGTCTTGAAAGTTAAAACTTTTTGGAACCCACCATTTACGCCTACCTCAATGTTTACTGTCATCAGTCTTTTCTGAGATGAGTGATATTAATCTTTATTTTTTACTATTTTTTAATCTTAATATCTATATTATACACACAATCTAATAAAATGTATAAGTTATTTGCTTTCTCTATCTAGAACTGTGCTAATAAACAATATTATGACTTATCACCAAAAGAGAACAACATTAATTATTTCTGTTTAAAATAGAAAAGATTAAAATAACGCAAATTGTTTTTAACAAATCTTTTTTTATGTAATACGAGTATGCTGATTTTATGTTAATATTGATAATCCAAATGTATTTTTAAATAAACTATTTGTTTGGATAAATATTTTCACCCAAATCTATTTATTTCAAGGTCATTTTAGATAATTTTTGATATGAATCAATATAAAATAAATTAAAAATCATTTATTTCGATTTCAACTTAATAAAGTATTGATGTTAAGACTGTAAAATTTTCAAGTTTCCATGAAACCAAATAAAACTCAATATTTTATTAATCATATTATTTTTTTTTAGCATTCCTACGGATTTATCCAGTGCTGCGAACGCCAGGCACGTTTATTCTTTCATTTCAGTCAATTTAGTGGCAATATTGAACATCTCAAGATTGGGGATCCTGTCGAATTTGAAATGACATATGATAGACGCACAGGAAAACCGATAGCTAGTGCAGTCACTAAAATTGCTCCAGAGGTAGTAAGTAATGCAATCTGTATAAAATTGCACTACATTTTATTATTATTAAATCATTTCAATTGCAATCAAAAGATAATGAAACTCGAACAGTAGTAAATCTATCAATTTAAAAATATCATTTAAAATGTTTACTTTTATAGTTTTTCTAATTATTTAATTAGTTCCTTAATTAACTTCATGATTTTCATTCCAGCATTTATTGACATGAGCCCATTCATATTCCTTCTACTTATTTTATTTATCATATATCAATGTGGGACAGTTACAACTTCTGCATTACTTCAAACCATATGACTTACATTAGATAACTGAGCTGCCATTTTAAGCTAGAGATGAGTGTTACATCTACTTTCGTTTTAATTGCTTTTTCGTTACGCCTCTTTGAAAACACCCTGTTTCCATAATGTTTTTGATAAGGGAAAATGCTATTTTTTGGTCATGAAACTGCACCGGAAAAGGGTTAGGCTAATTTAACAAAACAGTGCAAGACAAAAAGCTCAAGACAAAATAGCACAAGGACAAAATATCGCAAGACAAAATGGCACAGGACATAAAAGCGCGTGTTAAAATATTTCAGTATTCTAATTAAAATAAAAAAAAACTTAATCTAATTTACTTAACCTGGGCGCTTTGAAGCCATCGCATGTTTTGAAAAAATTGATATAAATTAGAAAACTTAAAAAAAATCGTAAGTAATTTACCTAACCTGTGCGGCCTGGAGACATATACAGCAACCCGACATTGGCCGACATGGCTCTAGGCTGCACTGGTTTTTTAGTTTTTTTGGACATCTGGTAATAATAAATTTTAACGTTTTAACTTTGTTCCATAAAAAATTAAGTTTGTAAATACTTAATGTTATAGAATCTCTTATATACTCCTACATTAGGTACAGTTATCTTAATTGGCTTATCCAGAGCACTTGAAAGTAATTATTTTATTCTATAAACACTACATTTAATACCTATACTTTATTTTTATTTTATTTTTATCACAACGTTAAACTGACTAAATAACAAATTGTTTTTTTTGCGCAAACTCTAAGAATGAAGACATCGGGAATAAGCGGGAATTTAAAAATTTAATTTGAATGGCCACCCTGTCAATTCGATCCGTTTAGCATAACAAGATAATGGCTGAAACTGTTCCCCAAACAAACAATCCAGTAGCCGTCTTTCCAATTTTAAAATGTAACTCTTATTATTAAAAAAAAAATAACTACAAAACAAATTAAGTATACATTATGATTTTAACGAGCAAAAAACTGTTGTTAACGACAACGCCACCGCGCTTGTTCAATTCTATATCATTATAGATTATAGATATACATGTATTGTAAACAAACAAACAAAAAATCGCATGTGTAATGGACAAAATCGGTAATGACAGACCTAAAAAGAACATTCCCTTGGGAAATTCAAGGAAAGATGAGATGAAACAAGAAACTGCAGAGTTGCCAGGGAGTTTTTAAGTTATCCTGACAACATTGTAGCAAACAAATACTTGACTGTGACTAGACATAATCTGCGCCTAGTCACAGACATTCTGACTGGTCATTGCCAAGTACAGAAGCATCTCCATATCATGGGGCTGTCAGAATCAGCACTCTGCGGAGGGTGCGAACAAGAAGATGAGACCATCGAGCATATCATCTACGATTGCTCGACGCTCTTATTTATTAGGAGATTTGTGTTCGGCTAGTATAGGTTAACACCGGTCCATATAACAGAAGCACCTCTTGGCGACGTTGTCAACTACATTAAATCTGTAGGCTGGCTCACGAGCTAGGAGGTGCCTATTGTCTTAGGAGGATGCACAATGGGTCTAGTGAGGCCTAAGTGCCTTGTGGTAACCCACCCCCTAAACGTTACAGATACAGATGTGTAATGGAAAGCTGACATCTTCTGTCATCAAGGTTCCAGGGCAGGAGGAAATGTTTCCAGTGACGGTAAATTAAAATGTTTTACATAAATATACCAAAAAAAATATGCATTTTAATTTGATACCAACATTATTTTCAAATTATTCAATTGAAGTGAGGTCAGTAATAATTATTGTTTGTCCATTTCCTCACCACTTCGGAGGTATTAATATGGCGTGTTACCATTTTTTAAAGGATTGGTTTGCCAGTTGCTACATTATGACCGCATTATCAAATAAATACAGAGTGGCCCGAAATTAATAATTCATAGCCTAATGATAGTGTGGGCTTTTAAATATTATGATCTGATTGAATGTTCTTTAATAAAATGGAAAAACTAAAAATTTTAAATAATTCTTTCATTTTTTGTATCTGTTTATAAATTATAGCCAAAATTGACAGAGGGTTATTATTTTTGGCAAGCAATTTGATTTTATTTATAATTTTAAATTTTATTATAGCCTCATGAGCACTATGAATTAAAAAAAAACTTAATTCCAAGTCACGAAAAATGTTTTAAAAGTAAACAAAAAAAAAATGCAGAATTACAAAAAAAAAAAACTCAGCAACTTTTTTATGAATGAAGTTGTGTCGGATTGTAATATTTTAAAGCCACAAAGCTATGTACCTTTAAATATAGACCACCTTGTTTATAACTGACTGTAAAAATAAATTATGTACTTATTTTAATGAATTTAATCACTTTTGAAAATTTTCACTTTTCCACTTGAAGGGTACATGGTTAAAAGGGGCTCATGCGCATTTTTGTTTTTTTACCAAACCGATTTTAAGGTCAAAATTCCAGTTTGAGAACGTTATGCTGCTTTATTTAATTATTCGAAATTAAATGGTAAATAAACTTCTTACGCATTTTGAAACGTTTTGTATTTCTTTTGACAAAGAAAAATAACCTACAACTACAAAAGTACAGGGGTAAAAGGGGTCCATTTTGTTAAAATGGGCCCGTTCTTTCACAGTAATCCTAACTGCGATCGTCGTTAGTGTCAAAAAAATTTTTCAAGCAATTACAGTCGGGGCCCATATCATGACTTTGTACTCTCATTTTCTTATTAACGCCCCTCAATCTACTATAAGATGTTCTCTTTACTTTTAGGCTCCATGACACTAATTTTCACATTTAGTTCTTCACCACCACTTTCCATAATCAAAACTCGAAGTAAACAAAACAAATTTGCACTTTAGAGACGCTCCTGTTACAGTTCATCAAATTTCTAGAGGTGTTCGACGCCCAGACAGAGAACGCGCTACGTGTGACTAAGATAGCTATTGTACAGTCTGCTAAACAAGTTATTTTAAATAGTTTTTAATATTTTTAGGTAATTAAATTTTAAAAGTGTGGAATAGTTTAGGGATTAAATTGGTCTGATTGGACTTTCTTAGAACGTTTTTAAAAGCAGCTAAAGATAGTATGTAGAATTGAAAATAATTATTATGCCATAAAAGGTGTTTTGGAATTCCTTCAACCTTTTGAAATTGAGTCAGAAAATATAAATTTTATAGGATAGCGGAAAATACCTATAATTTTTTTGTAGGCCTTTGTAAATCGTGGAAATAGTTTATATTTTATTTCTACCTTATTAAGGAAAATGGTACCTATTATTAATAACGGTTGTTTCTGAAACATTACTAAAATTTTCGAAATTTTGTTTTTCTACAAAATAATAAACTATACTATTTAGAAAAAAAATTTATTTCTCTTTTAATTTTATAAAAAATAACGGGAATATTTACATTTCTTGATCTATTAAACAAAACGATAAATTATCTCGACGAATGACACCATGTTCTAGTACGGAAGCTAGCTTTACATTTTTGTTAGTGGTTTCATGGGTTTCATATCAATTTTTTGTAATTGTAGTTTACACGTACATATACCTCTTAACACTTGTTTGCTTTATTAAAAAAGTGTGTTGTTGTGATTTACGTCGAAATAAGTCAAAAACAACTTGAAATCCCATATAAAATCAAAAAGGAGAAACGGAAAAAAATTGAGCCTGTAAATGAACACAACTCAGAAACAAAAATAGCTATCTAATAATAAAAAAATAAAATTTGAATCTTGTGCAGCTTCATCTATATCATTAACTGTTTTTGGTTTTTTAATGGTTTTTCTTGGTGATGAAAATTCCGATATCTCACGGTTATCGATTCTTTTTTTCTCTCCAGAAATGCGGACGACAGTGTTTTTAGATACTCCTGTGGCTGCAGCAACACGATCATTTACATTTTTAAATGGTATTGAAGGTGAATTAAAGTTTCCTTCTCTTCTCATAAACTCTATAACATTGGCTATTATTTCGCGAGATTGACTGTTAATCACGCGGCCTCTTAATTTGCTATTAAACTCCATACTTAGGTTCTATTAAACTGTAATGAGCAAAAAACACAAACGAAAATAAAAGAAATGTTTTAGCGAAATTTACATCTGACATTTACGTCTGAATGAAATAGTGAAATACTTGATGCACAGAGTGTACTTTCATTGCGTAAATCCGTCGGGATGCCTGTCAGTAGTGCTTTCTCTGTCTAGCCGTCGAAAGCCTCTAGAAATTTGATGAACTGTAAAGCTGATTCAGTAATACTAAAAATAATGGCATGCTTGAAATTAAGACAACAAATCATAATGAGCAAAAATGCGATCATTGTATGAAATTTTTACAATGAGCCCGTTTTTGCGCGGTTTGCGCCCAATGAGCTCGTTCTTCCCGTATATAGCTTTTTTTAAATGTAGATTATCTCATAAAAAAAGCGCGTTTTGTGTAGTTTGGAATCTAGAAGGTGAAAATACATGTTAAATACTATCAATCCTGAAAATATCACACTTTTGGCCAAAATTGCAATGAATTCGTTTTACCCCATGGAGGTATAATACTAATGGAGATGCCACGAGGCAATTGTTTCTCATAATATCGGACGATTTGTTACTGGTGTAGGAACAAACATATTAATTGTCAAAATATTTATAATTTGCATGCTTATCTCTCGCGTAAGTTTACTGTATATTATGCCTACAAGAGTTGCTAGCACTCTTTAACAATCTGGTATCCAAGCTTTTAATGTCAAGTTTTTGACTGTAACTGTAAATTACTGAGGTGTCAACAATAAAACCAATATGATAATATATAATCGTAGTTTTTATAGTTTTCAAAGAGTTGTAACGAAAAGTATCATTCATTAATCAGAAACGCCTTTCTCGTGCTTGCACCAAAAATTGTCACCCCTGCACGTAAAAAATCCAGTTTCTGGATACATAATGATATACTATTCCATTATCTTTTGACTGCATTTAAAATTTAAATAGTAAAGCATTATACTGCTAGTTATTACATTGTTTAAAGGTGGCATGTGAAATGGTTCGTTTATTTAGGTCATGAGTGAAGAAAGAGTTACTGGAACAGTAACGACGGAACTAAGAGCTGGCGAAGGATCTGCTGGAGACACGACTGGTCGAATCAGTTACGAAAATCGGGGAGAATGTTTCTTTTTACCTTACACCAAAGATGACGTCGAAGGAAATGTTACATTGAGATCCGGCGACAAAGTGAGCTTTCAGATTGCAACTAATAACCGGTGAGTGCTATGAAATAAAATACAAGGTGGGTATCCGGATTCGAGAATACCGATCAAGAAGAAGCGATACTAACTGTCGGTGCCTTTGATATCGGCTGGACATTTTTCACAGCCTGCTTATTTTCTACACTGAACGAAATAGCTTGGCAAATTATCCACGCGCAAACGTTATAAATGTGATTTATTTACATAGAGGTAGTTAGAGTAAATAATAGCAATTGTAAGATTTCAGCACCAAAATATAATTCCTTATGTATTAATTAATTATTTGATATAAAAGTGAAAGACGTTTAATATTTTATAATGTATTTATCTATAAGATTTATTCCATATTTGATTTATTCATGGTTAAAAAGTGATAAAAGTCCCATATTTAAATTAAATTACCTGTTTCTCACGTAAAAATAAGTTAAAGGGTACCAAAAAAAAAAAAAAAATTAAGTAACAATGAAACAGACATTAAGTTTGAGAGTTAAACTGAATATTTGCAAAGTGCATATATTTGCAAAGTGCGTATATTTTCAAAGCATTTAGGTTTAAAAAGTACTTTATTACTCATTTCTGTGGAAATAAGTGTTTTATCGCAAAGATAAGCCGCATGTTATTTAGACTCGATTGTACAATGCGAGTTGAACCTCGGTTTAGTATGAACATGGTTCTTGGCGTTGTACAATACTAGTTCAGAACATAAACTGCTTTCAACAAAGCGGTCATGTTTCCGCGCTTAAACCGAGTTCAGACCTATTTTGGAATTTAGTTAGTTGGTAACACACTACAAAAAATATTTTTCCTGCAATCGCACGCGAAGTCAGTATTTCGCGTTCTCAGCACAGTCCGCGAAATTAATTTCATAGCAACGGCTGCGAAACCAAACGTCACTTCCAAATTTGAATATCACTTCCAAATTTGACATTTCTAAAATACTACAAAGACAAGGATTATTTTTTATTGAATACCAACAAATACATAAGTACTTATATTATTTAGGATGAAAATTAACATTAATTGTACAGTTTGTATTATTACTTATATTTACTCCAGAAGTTGAAGCAACTACATCTAGTGTTTCTGAATAATGCTTATTGCCTACATTCAAACCAGATACTATGTCTCCAGAAATTGAGTTGGAAATTTGCTTCTTATTTTCGATAGAGTCTACTATATATCCTTCCGCTACTGTCGTGGACTTCCATCCACCGTGACGTTTAAGAATTGACATATCAGCCCCAATATTGGCAAGCAGCATGGCAGAACTTCTCCGAAAACAGTGACCCGTGTATGTTTCAGGATTTGGTAATCTGAGATACTTGGCAATCATACTAGGCATTTTCCCAATGGTATGCACTCCAACAACTTGTGCGGTGCACTTTCCGTTTACGTATCTCAAGAATATACGACGATTATTAAAAATATGTTTTGGTCGAAGAGCTGCATATTTACGATAAATTTTTCGTACTGCCGTTTAGATTTTTCGGGTATTAAAACGGAAATCGCCGAATTTACAACGCTTTTGAGTTCAGGAGGAGTGGAAGGTACTGAAATATCGCTATCAGTATCAGACATTTTGCGTTTTTGAGAACTGTCAAAATATTTTGTATATATTGAAACATTTCATTTCCATAGCACACGGTGACATTGTTAAATAAATTGACCTGCTGTTGACTTTAGAGCAATAATATATTTATTTACAATTATCTAGTTTAATAATTTTAACGATTGCACGAAAAATAGTGTGTATGCCATGGCCGCGAAACTTTTTAACTACCTCAAGATTATCTTGCCTCGGCCGCAAGCGGCCTCGGCGATAGGTGTTCTTTCGGTACGTTAAAAAGGTATTTCGCGGCCTAAGCATACAAATAACTATTTTGGTTTGGTACCTTATACGCTAGGTACCGTACACAAACAGAGTATGTGTTCTGCGTACACAAACCGTACACCGTAGGTAGGTAAATAGAAAACAAGATAAATACGAATTACTGAATTCCTAATTCCTTGTTTCATAAAAGTGGATGAAACGATGAGGATTTTTTAGAATGAGTAAATATCTTACAACAACCAGAAAGGCAACCACAAATATATAGACTAAGGGATAATAATTTTGTGAAGTTGAACAATTCGGAATTTGTACAAAGATTTGTGAATTAAATTCACCTTCAATTTTTATCCAGCACTCATTCTTCTTACCGTTACATTCACATCCGTTTTTTTTTTATTTTATAAAATGTCTATATTTTTTCGCTAGTTTGACTAGTAAACCTTCTTCGGCATGCATGAAGTTTGGCGTTCTTTTTGATTGCAACATGAAGGAAGGGTTGCACATTCATATTTTCCATATTATCAGTCTGGAAACACGAGGGAAAACTACGCTTAACCTCTAAAAATAATAATTTTAGAGTAAAAATGTCGAAAATGGCATTTTATATAGCTCCTTTATTTTCTAATAAGAGAAACAAAGATACCCTACGTAATTAGTAAAATTGAAATCTGGCAACCCTGAACAATGAAGTTTATCTAAACCGACGTTGAGCGGGGTAAGTACAATTCATACCAATTTTTAAGGTAAATTCAACCATTTACCGAGTTCACCTGAATCTAGTTTTTAGCTTGCTTTGTACAACCGGGCCTTAAGGTTTATGTATTAATAGTTGAATACCTGGCCTGGCTATCACCTAGGCAAATAGGTCCATTGGACGTCAATTCGATATACAATTTTGGATATCTGGACGTCCAGAAATAAGTTTTTTCTGAGCTTTCGACATCCAATAAAGATCCAGTGAAGTATACAAATGGCACACTTTTGACCATTCAGAGGACGTCCATTCTGGATTATACTTGGATGTCGAATACTGGACATTCAAGAAACGTCCAGGATTATATTTCTATTGAGACCACATCCAAGATCGCTTAACCTGAGCAGGGATCGAACTTTCAACCGCTAGACGATCTCGACCAAGGAGCCACTTGAAAACTTTACTAGATATGGTTATAATAGAATAAGATTTTAAACTTCCGCTGATAGAACGAAATGCCATAGATTTAATTTGTCAATTTTTAATGACCAGTTATATATAAAAAAAAGGAAGTGTATGTAGCTGGGTATTATCTGGTAATCTAAATAAATAATGACCTAAGATGGACGTCAAAATACTACCAAACTTAAAATAAAGTCTAAAAACAGACGTCCTCTGGGTATCGATATCCAGCTGTCAAATTAATGATTATAAACGGACGTACACTGGATGCCTGAATATGAACGTTCTAAATGGGTCTAAAGTGGTCGTCAATATAATTATGTGTGCTTTCTGGGCATAGACGATTTTTTAGAAATAGTACTCATTTAAGTATTTATCAATATTTCCAAACTCAATTCCAGTATGATTCATTCATTAAATGTAAAAATGAATGGGCGAAACATCTTTATATTGGCATAATTATTGTAACATACAATTTAACCATAATAAAAGGATTTCGTCCACTTTGGCCAATCCTAACAAACTACTGATACACCTTTCTCAAGGAAACACGCGGATTTATTATTTATTTTATTTATGTTAAAATAAAATCTGCAGTTGATTGTTTATTAAATTTATTTAAAAGAAGACACATATTTCACAAAACCCAATACACCTATGAAAAATAAAATATCAAAAATTATTAAATCATTAAACTTAATATCTTTATACATGTGATAAATGTCTTACTTTCCTAATAACTTTTTTTGGTACATTTTGTATCTGTATCAGAATACATAAGTCTGTAAAAAAATCTTCATCTTATTACAACACAAAACAAACACCAAAAAATATCACTTAACATTGCTCACGTACTATACACAACTTGGACAGATAACATGATTTTGAGTGATATACAACTTATTTTCGCACATGCGCGTAACAAAACGGTACAATGGAAACGCCAAGCTGTCGCTTCTCCTTAATTGGTATTCTCGGGTCCGGATATTCAACTAATAACGCTTGACAGGTAATTACTTTTGCAAATTGATGAAAAATGAAGTGCCGAATTTTTTGTTTGAAGGGTAACCCATTACAGTACTTCTATTCAGACCGAAAAAATGATTTAATATCATTTCATGTTCGAAGTAATTAATTTTCTTGGACAAAATAAATATATTTTTATACTTTTTAAAATAATGAAACTTACACAAGCTTTAACTGAATGTCAAATAAATTTTTTTTTATTATTTTTTTATAGTTGCTAACATAATAAAATAAAAAAATATTTTATGCTAAAATAAAAATATTTTTTTTTAGTGGAAACCTAGGCGCTTGCCATGTTAGGTTGGAGAATCCAGCTCATCCTGTAAAATATCAAGGTGTTGTCTGCTCGATGAAAGAAAGCTTTGGATTCATAGAACGAGCTGATGTAGTCAAAGAGATATTTTTCCACTTTTCTGAAGCCAAAACCAAAGAGGAGTTAAGATTGGGCGATGATGTGGAATATATTATACAAACTCGCAATGTAAATCATTTTTTACTGTTTTCGGTTTTTTGTTAATAAAATGCTTTTCAGGGAAAAGAGGTGGCTTGCAATATAACCCGTCTGCCACCTGGGACTGTAATATTCGAAGATCTGAAGGCTGACATCCTGAAAGGACAAGTACTGAAACCTATAGATCGAGGACCTCGCAATCCAAATGACGCTTTACCGGGTCGTATCAGGTACAGAGCTCCAGATCATTCAGAAGTGGAGATATCTTTCAGCGAAAAAGACCAAATGGGAGATTTTACTTTACGCCATGGGGATTGGGTGCAATTCCAGATAGCCACAGACAGAAGAGATGCTTTGGATAGGGCAACACATATAATGTTGTTGGATGAAAGTTTCAAGTAAGGATGAGTTTTGTTTTACTGAAGTTTGTTCTGCTTTAGATTTCTTTAATGGATTCATCCAGTAGGAATGAATTTCTTGATTTTTATAATAATGGTTGGATTAAGTGACCTTCCTTATGTTGATTTTCATTGTAAATAAAAATCAGCAATAAGTAAATATATTTAAAAATGTGAATATGAAAACTCTAATTTTGCCTACAAACTTAACGAATCCATCCCCACTACCCTAAAATGAAAACAAACCAAAGACAAATTGAAAAGGCTTTGAAGAAAAGAACAAATGAGTGCCCTAGCCAGGGATCTAATCTCAATCTCTGAGTTTACTCTACCAATTGGTCTACCGAGTCGTATTCGCGCGCCTGTCATTTGTCACCTATAAGTAGGATGTTTTGTTTATTTACATGTTTGTTTTGGGCGGAATTTGTATTTGTGATTTTTTTAACTGTTTTTAAGTAATATTCTCATTGTAATAGTGTTTTTGAGTTTCATTTAGTGTTAATTTAAGTTTAAGTCTCATGCTTTCGTCATAAATATAATATTTATCATGCGTATGAGTTAATTTGTTGGAAATATTCACCTATTGGTTGCTACAAGAACATCTAGAAACATGTATTTACTAAACCCAGGACATGTTTTATTATGTGGTTTAAAGGACATTACAGGTACCAAACGTTTATTATTGATGAACTTATTTAAAAATCTTACTAGACTTATATTATGAAGTGAATTATGTAATACTTTATATACATGTAAATGGTAATAAAACCATCACAAATCATATTACAGTTTGATTCTAAACAATGTTTTGCAAAATTTCAATATTGTGAATTTGTAGATATCCATTAACGTAAAAAACAAAATTTTACAACTTGCACTTGGAAAATAATGAATACTTCAGTTTTGATTTTGACATTAACACCATATAGATTGCAATTTGCTGAGGACTTTTTCGCAGATTCATTTTTAATAAAAACACTATCACATACTATAAGAAATAAACAAATTTAAAGCTAAAAAGTAAGAAAAAAAAACTCAAATTGTATTTGATATAAATTAAAATGTAAACAATGAACACGAACGCCAATGTTGCCAAATGATGAACTGATTTTAAAACAAAATTAATAAATGAACTGAAATTTAAAAAAATATATATAATAAATCGGTTTTATAAAAAAATCCTTAAATAAATATAGAGTGTGATTACATATTACTATACACAAATTTTGATTCTTAAATAAAAGATCTTATCCACTTCTTCAAGAGCTAAAATCCGACGACGTAGCGAAATTTTGCTACTTCTGGCAACACTGAACGATATCCTACTTATAGGGACCTTCCTCCAGAGGGCGTATCACTTAGCTTGAATCGCGAATAGCTACGACAGTCAAGTGGAAAATTTGAAGAAATCAGATTCAAACTGTAGTCAGTACACACATCTCCCATAACCCAGCTCTTAAATTTTTTTTGAAAGATGAGACGTAAAGTTGAAGATGCAAATTACATACCTGGCAGAGGCAAGCATTATTTCTTTTCTTCTTAGCTTTTCACTTTTGGATGGTGATGATGGGTTTCTTGCTTTTTTTAGGGGAATTGGGGGTTTCATTTTCATGTTTTAAAATGCATTCTTTGGTTTTCAGACCTTTAATCAATATATATTTATGCTCTCATTTCTTTCAAAAATAATTAATGTTATTATATTCGCGATTCAAATTAATTTTCCCGCGCTGTGTAAGAAGGGTAAACATTACAGTGTTGTCACACCATTTAATTTATTTGTAATAGAATTTTAAACCAATAGGTAAAGTTCAACTTAATGATATTATTCCTAGTGTCAGTTTAAGATTTCCGTAGAACGGTTATCGCTGTTACTGTCTTTACTTTGTCACTGAAATTATAACATTCAGATTTATATTTTGGAATTCCTCTTTAATATAATAGTAATAGATTTATTGCAATTTTAAAAACAACGGCACCATTTAGCCTTCTTACACATGTTACACAATAGCATTTTCAATATTCTAGCTTTGTTCGTTTGTGATTAATTTGACATTAACTGCTCAAGACTAACGAGTATAATTTGGTTGACTGTATTTACTTCTACTCTATTTTATTGTCAGTTTTATCGATATGACAACATTTCAATAAAACTTGTATTCATTGGAACCCACCTTTGCTCCTAAATTCATTCCAGCCACAGTGTCGCCACAGAACGGTTGAACCCGATCAAATGTGTTATGGAAGGCCAAAATTATAAGATAAACTATTTTAAACAAATCACTGAATGTGTCCATTGTAAAATAAATAAATCCATAATTTCTTGCTGAATATTTGATCTGTTTTTACAGAGTGTCTGGCGAAAAACGAGAACAGGGTGTTGTGTGTTCTGTAAAAGAAGGATTTGGTTTCCTGAAGTGTGTTGAGAGGGAGGCGAGGCTGTTTTTCCATTTTAACGAAATATTGGAAGTCGAACGCACTACCGAAGTGCAAGTCGGCGATGAGTTCGAGTTCACTGTAGTCCAAGATCAAACCACTAGCTCGACCATGTTTTCAAGCAATCGACAAAGTGCCATTAGAATGAAATGGTTACCGCCTGGTAAGTGAACTATTCGGCTATGCTTTTTTAAACTTTAAAGCCATTTAATTGCCTTTTTAGACAATACTATACATTCTTATTGTCTAATTCTCATTTTCCCTTTCAATAGCTTAATACAGATTCAAATCGTTATGTTTAATTGTTAGTTCAGTTTGACAGAAACATTAAAGTAAATGATGGGTATATTGTTTTTAGTACTCCAGTACTTAAGTTTAAATGCAGTTAAATATTTTGACATTTAACCTTAAAATATTTTGGCTATTCTTGACATCAAGAATGCACCTAATTTTTTAGTAACTACAAGTTACTAAAAATAATTTTACTCCATAAAAATACTATGTAACAAAATAATACATTTATCTTAAATACTTAAGCTTGTAATATATTTTTTGTTTCCTGCGACTATAATATCTTAAGAATCAGTAATTTCAATTTTCGTTTCTTTAGGTACTGTACAGTTTGAAATTAGAATAGAAAATGACCTTACGGGTATCATAACCAGCGACATACCTCAAAGCACCTGGAACAATAGAAGCCCCACGAAAAACCAGAATGGTTCAGTTGAAACGGTTAATGAATGTGGATTGATTGGTTACAGCATGAGCGGAATCAAAAAGACGATTCCGTTTTATGTTAAGGATTGTAATCCAAAGCAATATCCTAGAGTGGGCGATAAGGTAAGAAATAAAACATATCATCAATTAGAATTCACATTTTATTAACTATTTTGCTGATTGAGAGACTAGGTAGTGTCACATCTGGGTGTGTATGCTTCTAACGAGTGAAATTTAAACTCACCGAGAACTATATTCATTTTCACTTTCTCAAAAAAGATGGTAGTCTTGAAAAAACGTTGGGGCCAATGAAGGCAAAAGTGGATAGTTAAAATGAATGCAGAGTTGTCAGATCGTTGGTGATTATCCAATCAGTTAGAAAATAGGAAATTTTGTCAGTAAATGACCCTATTGACAGTTACATTCATACTAATATATTATATATAAATCGTTTATTTAGTCAAAAAACTATTTTTTACATGTCATTATATCTTCACATTTAAAATAAAATAAAAAAATACATAAGCATAGAATCAACATACAATTAAAATACAATAAAAATTCATAAGTATACAGTACACGTACATGTCAACTATACAAAACATAATAAAAGAACAAGAAAAAAAAATCAATTAGTCAGCAAGTACTCAGGCAGTTTTTTTTTTAAATATTGCTGTGTTTGAAGAACATTTAATATCTTTAGGCAACTTATTAAAAGCCTGTATACCTTTAACAAAACACTGAATTTTGTGTTCATTTTTTTGTGTCCTTATAAACTAAATTTTTTCTTATTTCGTGTATTGTGTTCATGAACATCCTAATCATAACTTAAAATATTTTGTAAATATACTGGGGAGATTCCTGATTAACCTTAAATATAAATAGCAGGGAATATAACGGCAAATATTTTTTAACAGGTAACCACTGAAGCACATTTTGATTGGTTCCTCTATTCTATTATAAAAGAAAGACATTCATGTTTTGTGATTCATATAAAAACAAGAAACTTTTCATTTATTTTAATTATCACTCACTCAAAAGGATAATAATTTATTTAAAACGTTTTTTACATTGTAACAATGTGATAGCACAACGAATAGAAAAGCACAATGAAGAGAAACGGAAACATTTATCCTACTTATTTAAATGAAAGCATAATATAAGAAATGGTTATGGCATCCGTTGACAATCTATTGGTCCATTGCATATGGATCCAATGTGTCTGATTGTTATGCTATCGTTTCTATTTTATATCGATTTAATTTTTTTTATTAATTTAAATCCATTTTAAAAGTAAAATAGATAATGCAAATATTATAAAAAAACACATTGAAAGAAAAAAAAAATGTTATTTAATTAGTTTTCACTACCGATGATGTCAGTCCATTAGAAGGGCCAGGTCCAAAAAGTATTTGAAACTAGTGAAACAACAAGACGGTCGGTCACCTCTCGATGTGGCGTAACCTTTGATCCATCTTAAGTTGTCCATATTATTGATGGATACTTTGGCCAAAGCGTCGTGACATTCTGGTACTAACCCTGAGTAAATTAGTGGTCTGTCCAGGGCGAGTAGTGTTTGTCTGCTATCTATATAGATGATCATGTTCTTTCCAGTGATATTTGTGGTGATTTCTTTTGTTGCTATGAGAATCCCCATGAGCTCAGTTTGAACTACACTGGCACTACTGGCTCATCACATGTTTAGGTGTAAGGATTTCCACATTCTGAGTCTTACTTTGTTTTAGGACTGTTGGTGTAGATATGAATCGTACCTGCCACTTCCGGTTCTTCTATTTGTTCTGTTATAACTTCATTTGGCTTATGAAACATATGAATATACCTACCAGGTGCGGTGTGAATTCTTCCAGTCTCCACTGAAGTAGAGCTGGATAGATACCGTCAGGTCCTGGCGATTTAAATGGAGAGTAGCTATAAAGTGGCCATCTATTTTTGACATCGTCTACAATGTATTTGGCAGTTTGCCAATCGTAGACAGAAGGGTTGTATTCTTCCTCTGCCCAGTCAGCCACGTCTGTGATGATCGGGTCAAGGAAGTGTGTTGACATCAGAATTTTGATGCTATCTCTGAGGTTTGCAGTTTTCATGCCATCCTCTTTGATTATCACACCAATACTGCCATGTGGATCTGTTGAGAGAGCTTTTTGAAGCCTCACTGACTGCATCTCTCTGTTTTTGGGTAACTTTTTTTCTGTATTCTATGAGGTGATATTTGAAATTATCTCAGTCCTCTTTGAGTTTTGTGGTTCTTGCCTTATTAAAATATTTCCTAGCCATCTTCATGAGATGATCCAACTCGTGATACCACCATGCGGTAGTTGTCTGATCGTTTTGGACCAGCCTCAGGGTACATGATTTCTTATAGGCATTGTTTATTGTGCTTTCTTTTCCCTCCTGATTGCATATTCCATCCTAACTGTAGTTAAATTGGAGGTGGAAAGGTGTGCCATTGAGTGGGCTTCTTTATTTCCTAGGTTGTAAATGGCTGTTCTAGGTTGTTGGTTGCTGGAAAACCTAAAACTTGAACCATTTAGATTGTTTAGACCTATAATTTTGGTTTTTATTATCCAGGGTTCATGGATGAGTGCTATTCTATCACTATTGTATCTTGCAACTCATCAAGGAGGTGGCATAATGTTGCCGTAGCCTGAAAAAAATATCCATTGTGGTAGTGTCTTCCCCTGCATTCACCTTTCATGGTACATGACAAATAGCGATTTATGAGAAATAAGTAAAATATAATGAAACCACATGATATACGATTGAATAGAAATGATAGAAATCATTTTCAGGCATAGGTTTTGTCTCGTAATTTGTCTCTGCTAAGTATATTTTTTTTTAAACTTTCATAGATATGCCTATACCTAAAGTAATAACATGCATCAAGTATATAATCGTTCAGTTAACAAAATTCTCTTTTTTTTTTTATGTTAAAATTTAGTGATGGGTCGCTTTGAAAAGTCCACTGACAAGTCCGACGGACTAGTCTGAAAAGTTGACTAGTCCAAACACTTTTCAAAAGTGGAAAAGTTTATTGCATATGCGCTAAATTAAATGAACTAATTCGTCTGAATTTCTTACAAAGGCAAAATTTAGTTTAAAAAAGAAGAAAAGACAAATGTTTACCTTACTTTTATGTTTTAACGATGTTTTCGAATTTTCGTTTCATATCTTATTAAAATGAATTCATGAAAAAATTACCAAAAAATCCAAGGGTTAGAAGTATTTTACAAATGATTTTCCTAAAAAAAATCGAAAATACAAATATTGTTTCCAAAGTGGATGGAAATTTAATTAGCTGTTTTCTATGCTCAAGGTCGACTACTTTTCATTACTTTTCACTACTTTTCCGTCGGACTAATCCAAAAATTACTTTTCATGAAAAGTCCCATCTCTAATAAAATTAACATATCTATTTAATTTTACATTTTACGATAATTAAAAATAATTAAAAATAGTATAAATTTATGTCAAATTTAATAAAAAAAAATTGTTAAAAGTTAAGTTAAAAGTCAAGTGTCTCTGAAACCAAAATTACGTCACACTTATATAGCCTATATTTCTATGCTGTTTATGAAACTTAGAGAGCAGTTTATATTTCATGTGTAAGTTGGTGCTATTTGGTTTTGTTAATTTTTTCTTTCTATGTTTTGAACTATTCTTTGATATGGAAAAGGTGATGATATTGATGTTTGCTAGGATTACTATATTAACTGCAAAATCATGGTTATTTAATCTATCTTCTTTTAAACGCGAATTTAACACATAATTATTTTTTTGTTTTACTTCTATTATTTTCAGAATAGGTATTTTAATGTATGGCAATCACTTTTAAATCCATAAATACATTATAATATAATGTTTTTATGGATATTATTGCTATATAAATTATTTCATTTGGATCACCCTCTAAAATGGAATTCCCACTATTCAGATTAAAATAGATAAAAGAACCAGATGTTTGTTTAGTTTTTAATACTCACTTTTTGCGTCACATTTTTTGTTATCGCGACTTTTTATGGACTTTTGTTATTAGTAGGTGTTTTATTTTTGATTGTAGTAGTACAAATTTCTACTACAGATATTCGATAACTTAATCTATTTTTTTGGTAAATATATATTTTTGTGATTGTGTTTGAGGTGTTTTCTTTGATTTATGATTTTGATTTTTTTTTGTGTGTGATGTGTGTATTGTTATTTTACTTTTTATATTTGTTTGTAATCCGATTACTTGTAAATTCAAATGATTTGTAAATTAATAAAATTACCCTGGGGTATCAGGGAATATCAGGGAATAAATAGGTCCCAGGTATGTTCTACCTTTCGTAAGAGGGTACTAAAATAATAGGGGCATCTAGAGACACCTCTTGGCGAAATTATTAATTATTTTGTGAAAACAGGATTTTTGACGAGCTGAAGAAGTACCTATATCTCCCCTGGTGGGAGGATACAGAAACACTTTTGAATAAATTAAGAGGTGTATTTACTTGGCTGTAGCGCGGAGCATGCAAGGGTTTCGTAGTACCCTACTTTTAAAGTTTATTTTTGACTTTTCTGAAAAAAAAAAAATATATGTACGTTATAGGTAAAGGTTAAATCTGTGCTCCTCTGGAGACACTTTTTCAAAATATGATTCAGTTTTTTTGTTAAATACAACACTCGACTTTTTTTTACCCATTTTCACAATTAAAAAAAAAAACTAAATTGAATTTTGAAAAAGTAGTTCCAGAGGAGCATAGATTTAACCTTTACCTACACGTACATATATTTTTTTTTAAATAGTCAAAAATAAACTTTAAAAGTGGGGTACTACAAAACCAGGGTAGCCGTTTCCCCTGTAAATAGTTGGTAACAAGTTTGTTTGACCTCGACAGTAGCGTGCTGAGCGCGTTATGATGAACTATAATTCGGTACAGTCGGTAAAGTAGAAAGAAAACTACTAAGTAAAGCGATTTAAAAAATGGCGGGCTTCCAAAATTTATGAAATTTGAAGTAATTTCAAGTAACATTTTCCTATTTTACAGCTTTTACTTACAATAATTAAAAAAATCAATAAGTAAAATGAATTTTTATTGTAAGTAAATGCTGAAAAACGGAAAATGTCA